TGTTGATTTTCTCGAATGACTTGCTATCGTCTCTGATTATTTGTTGTTTGCTCAGTTCCCCCTGCTGCTGCTGTTCTTGTTGTCTTTATTTTGAAAGGGTTATCTGTGGTTCTTCCTTCTGATTTGGATCGTCTGTTTCACTTTGGGTATTACTGACGTCGGATGCTTTCTTGATAACAGTCGTGGATGATAATTTTAACTTTTTGTCTGTTGTTGTTGTTGATTCTCTGCCCAAAGAACTCCCTTTACTATTTTTTTGGTAAGGCTGGTCTTGTTTTAACAAATTGTTTTAGTTTTCCTTATCTGAAAATGATTGTATTTCTCCTTCACATTTGTTTTTTGGTTTTTTTAAATCATTTTATTAGGGGCTCATACAACTCTTATCACAATCCATCCATCCATCCATCCATACATCAAGTACATCTGTGCATATGTTGCCATCATCCTTTTCAATTTTTTTTTAATGGGCAGGTATTTACAGCGTGGGGACGGCACATACAAATCAGGATGGTCGAACTTCATTTACAAAACCTAATGATCTGGCCAAGCAGGCTGGCAGCCCACAGGGAACTAATTGGCTGCAGCCAAGTCTCAGGACGCTAGCAGACCTGGCCCAATGCTGCAGTCGGCCCCAGTCCCGGCCAGCCTCGACTCACTTAGAGTCCAGCTATGGTCCTCCCTGCCCTCCCTGCCCTGCAGCATCTGCACCTGGGCCCCCAGCAGCACAAGTCCATATCCCTCTCCACCTCCTGGTGGCTCTCCACTGAGCTGGGATGGCCGGTGGACCACATCTGTCTCCCTGAAATCAGAAATAAAGCTTCCTCTCTGTTCCTCGTGCTCGTGAGTCTGGCTCTGCCCTCTGGTCTTGCAGGGTAGTAATGCAATTGTAATACTTTTCTTGTCAATAACTTCTTTGCTTTTTTTGTTTTTAATGTGACTCTTTACTAGGATGTTTCCGTTTTTCTCTTTTTGGTTTTGTTGAGGTTTTAACTTTAATTGGAGTGTTTGTTGTTGTT